TCGCCGTAACGACCGTTTTAGTGGCTAATCCCTCACATCATCCAGAACACGTCAATAATAACAACTCTTCCAGATTCTAGAGTAGTAAAGACAATTAAAACGAAATTTTGAACTATAAAAACGAAACAAAATAGAATCTGTGTTTTAATCAGATTACCATTCAATCTGCTGCAATGCAATTCTATGAATATCGATAATGTAATGAACAATGGGGAATATTAAAACCTGTTGATGTATATATTCGCAAAAATATAATTTTTGCCAGAATGACGTCATTTTCAGTGACCAATTGGTTACATCTAAGGAATATTCACAGAATGCTGCAATTTTTTTTATGAAAATCAAACAACTATTTATTCCTTTATGGGCATAAAAAGTTGAAAAGTGATTCCCACAAAATTGCTTATTTCCTGGACATGTCAAAAATTTGAAATGATCTATGGATGTTCGTTTGCTCTTATATATGACTTATATATGCCTTTGAAAATAGTTGTGTTCCAGCCTTAAGATTTGAATTGCAGGAAAACGAAATTCTAAAATTGGTTTCAGTCTTGCTCTGCTTATTTACAACAGCAGGTAAATTTTAACCCCTAAAAGTGTTCCGAAAAGGTAAAAAAAAAATGCTCGTTTCTCTCAATCAGAGCTATAAAGTCCCAGAAAACAAAATTCGGAATCAATTTACCCGACATATTTATTCAAATTTAAATAAGGGCTAACCTTTTACAACAATTTACTTATTTCTGAGAGTTCGCATGGTTCTGACATGTGCCGACTTTTCAAAATAGCTTTAAGTCACTCAAAATTATCCAATGAGAATTTTTGTGCGAAATAAGCAGGGTGGAAACAGAAAAAAAACATATCAATCTGAACAAAAACAATATTGTTTCAAACAAGCTTCAAAGTGTGAAAACCTAATAAGTATTATTGTCGCGAAACAAACGGACGAATTCTCCTTCACTAGGCATTTCTAACCGAATGCACCAAATTTGTGAAGTACCTGTCTACCATAATGCGAAATGCAAGCGCCCCATTTAACGCATGCGTAGTCGAAATGTTTATGTTCTGAGAAAGTGACAATGTCGAAATATATGAAATTTACAAGAGAATACTGGATTTTATCGGACTTCTAGTCATTTACTCTAAGGGAAGAAATCAAAGGGATGACAATTCCAGGTATGTCACAAAGTTTTAGCCATTGTAATTAAAAAATGAAGGCATTTTTCGAGTCGGAGTATCAGCTGGAACCGACAGTAGATATTATCTACCACCTGTAGCACTTTCCCCTCAAACTAACAATATATTGTTTATTTGAATTTTCTATTAAACGGAAAGGTGCTTGTCGCTGTAAAATACTCGATCAATATACCAATTGTTAATTTATATAATAATTCAAAAGATACACTATTTAACACCATATCTTTCTGCATGAAATGACAATTTAATTGCTTTTTGAATAAAACGGAAACATACTTTTCTTTCGTTATTGTAGCTGTAAAATAATATACGAATTATTATTTTATATAGCGTATTTCTACTGATGATTAAAGTAATCAGGTATCGCAGAAATTTGCAACACGTTTTAACATCCGATCTTTCCCCTCCCTTTTTAGGGATGAGTTGAACAAGAGTATAGTAGTTTCAGGGCTCCCAAAACTAGTTTAGGTTCTTGCGTAATTTGGTGTACCCGTTTAATCATGAATTTATGTTGTTTTTGATGAATTGCTAAGGTTGCCGCAAGTTAAATGTGCAGAAGCTAGAAACACCAAGATATACTCTACAAAGCACAATTTACATTAAAAAAGAAACTGAAAGCGAAACTTACTTTCGTCTTCGTTTATTAGGCGCTAAAAATCTGAAAGTTTTTCGATATTTTTGGCAATTGCGGACCTTTTTCCAACCAATGTGCTTTAGCAAAGTGACCTCCAGTTACCCCAGATATACGCCAAGTGACGCTAGAGACTATGTGTCTTTCAAAACGTTTCGTCGAGTTGCTTGTCCGAGGGCCTGGATGTCGCTGTCGCGGGTCATGAAATAAAGTCCATCTAATGTGTTTTGATGGATTATATATCTTTAATATGTGCCGATTCAGAATCCGGATGATGCCAATACAAATTAGTATTCCTATATGACGACTTTATTCAAAATATGGCCACATTTGACGGGAAATTTCGATGTTAGCAATGTGATGGCATAATACGTCAAATAGTAGGTTTTCGGGGTAGGCAAATTAACATCTGAACCGCAAAATGTGCCATGACCGAACAAAACACCAATATGGTACTCAAATTTGACAAAATATCTATGTTCAGTAGACCATGGAAGAAAATATTACATTTCGCAGTTCATATATGAATTCGGCGACCTCGAAAACCTCCAGTTTAACGTATTACACCATCACATTACTACAATTAACATTGAAATGTCCCTCCGTCTTCATTATCCCAGTTGGGGCAAAACTATAGGATGTTAAACCCCATTTCATTTCGAAATGTCCCGCCAATCGTGACCACCAATGCGAATATAGTGGTCATATTGGAATACCTTTGGGTGGAACATATTTTATGTTAATACCTGAATAAGGAGACCACAAAAACTATACAGGGGACTTTATGATTTTCTCTCAAAAATGGGTCCCATTTTGAATTTGGCTTACTAGCGGAATTTGCCGTCACTTTTGGGGGCGGGGGGATGCCCAAGCTCTTTGGATTTAGCGAGTCGTATTCTTATAAAAACCAACCTTCAAACCGACGTCTGAGATAAATAACCAGAAAATGTATGGGGACAAATATTACAACTGCTTCAAAATGTGGCCTAACATAACTAGAATAAAGACGATATAATCAATTTTAAGGATGAAGCCGAATGAGAGCGATGATGTAGTGGCCAAATAGATAAAAAAAAAAAGCGACATTAAGGAGCCCAGCGACTCAATGTTTGACACCCATTTTGTGCTTGTAATGTGGAAGTGCATTGAATGTTACATGGATAGGGTCGACCGATTTTCACCTTTTTGGACTCTCTGGTATTTAGTTCCTATCCGTCCACATATGATCTGGACCCACAAAACGCCACTATAAAGTAATGCTTTTGTGGACACCACCAGGGGGTGCTGTTCAAATTACCGCGAAAGTTGGTTTTGTAACACATCTCGGGTACATCTTTCTGATGATTTTTGGGCCAAATGTCAAAATTGATCAGCAGCACCCATTCACCTTTTGATGCACTACTTCTCCAGTAAAAGACCTCTTGGCGGATGAAATTCGATATATGAGTAGGCTGTTGCGCCAATGCAGGGCAAATTTTCCCTCATATCACACTAAGGGAGCCAAATCGGAGCAGAACAATAGGATGTATAACCTCATTTTATTTCATTTCTTCAACATTGAAATGAATCCGTGTTCCTGCAGCTACTCTGATAGTATCACCTATCAGCAATGCAGCATTAGTTATACTTTTAGCCCCCCCCCCTCCGTAATTGTAACACATTGTTCTTCTTTATCAACCCAACATAATGGGCATGCACTCTTTTCTGCATCAGCATTCGTTTCTGCTGTTAAGATGTGTAAATGGACTAATTTTGGAAGAAATGCGACGTCTGATATGCCGTTGTGACGTCGCAGCGACCTCATGACGTCATAGAGACATAACGTCGGAGCGACCTCATGACGTCATAGAGACATAACGTCGCAATTTTTGGACTCGCTGATACCGACTTCCTATCTGTCCGCAATACATTTATGGTGTCTAAATCCATTAGTTTTAGAGATATTTGCAATTTTTTATCGAGAGCCGCCATCTTGGATTTGGCCACGCCCCCCGTCCTTATTTGGACTCCGATTTTGGTAAACTTTCTTTTCCTTACTTAGAACATCATAATGAGTCAATAGAAATCAAAAAAACCTTTTGTTGCAATTTGTTCTACGCTAAATGTTAGTTTGACCAGCATATACATCTAGCATGTAGAGTAACGGAATCTGCCGAGGTTTGCCGAGTGATAGAGACAGGTAGTGGGCAGCCATGTTTTGACGTAGTGTTACTAAAAATAGACGGGTATCCCTAATGATGGCGTTCAACGTTAAAATGAGTAAGCTAGAAGATTGTTAAGCTTTTCTTTAAATTCTAAGATTGCTCTAGCCAATTTAAACGTTGATCGTGCGACATCTTATTGTTATCTTAAACCGAAACAAAGCGACAGTTTAAAATCAGCTCTTATAATCAGATACAATCGTAGGCCTACCGGTTATGGCAAATCGCTCATATTTCATTTGATTTATTGCCGTATTTCTCAAATTCCAAAATATTAATTATTGTTCCGTTAAATTCCATTATTGAGAAAAAATTGCATAGTTTCGGCGCTAATCCACAAGCTAAACATAAACTACCGCTGCATTTAATTGGTGTTGACATCTTTATTGCATACTTCAGCGTCCGATCATGTTTTTGTTTACATTGGTAATGTGCGCAGAAAGAGATGCGCGCTGCCGGGAGAAATTCCTCCTGGCAAGATGGCTGCCCCCTACCTCACTCGGCAAACCTCAACAGATTTCAGTACCCTACATCTAATCTCGGCTGTATGACCAAGTCCGCCAATAGAACTACTTTCAAGTTCCCGGATTACAAGGCGTTGTCCATGACGACCAATGACGTCATTGATGACGACGTATTTGAAGAATGTTTTATCTTACAAAATTTTCAAAGTTTGAAGCTGTTTTTCTTTCAAGTTTATCCGATTTTCTTTAGACAAGGGCAAATTTGCACTGAAAATTCTACACACTCTTCGAACGACGCAATTTTGAGAACTTCTTTCTAAACGCGGGCAAGTTTCCCTTATAAGTAAACCGGTGCCGCATCGCAAATGTATAGGCGTAGGTACATATCACTTACTGTCATACAGCCGAGCCTAGATGTAGGGCACCGGAATCTGCCGAGGTTTGCCGAGTGCCCGCTACCTGTCTCTATCATTGACGTCATATAGATAGACCGCCTATTCGTTCAGGGAAGAAACCAATATGGCTGCTGTTTGTGCTGTGTCGTCTGCCCAATCATAATCCGTTAAAATGGTCAGGTCTTGCTGTTCCATAAACTGTGTTAATCGTGACATCCCAGAAATTAAAAAAAAGGAATAACTTTCCATAGGTATGATAGTAAATAGTATTAATCATTACAGGGATAATTAATCAGGTAGGCCTATAATGTTCAACCTCAACAGGGTGTAGCCGTAGCTAGGGTAGGCTAGACTAGAGACCGTACTTTTAACTTTAGGTTGTTTTTTTATCGACTTTGGCTGACTCTAGGCCTAATCTAGATTATATTTATTATAAACGAAAACAAAATCATGAATATGTCATTGTGAATAAACAATTTGACAATCACATCAGTATCGATCATAAGATTCTAACTAAGATGAGATTTTTATCATTTTATTGTATCAGTATCACGCCCATTTCATTTAATTCGGGTAGCCTACGCATGACATATTATTATTTATTAGAACATAACATAAATAGTAATTGTCAATAGATACAAGTTCGTGTATGACTGTATGAGCAACTTGGCGGCTACGTACAGTACTAATTAATGATAATAATAACAAAGTTTATCAGGGTTACTAGGGTAATAATAGGCCTATTAATAACTAGGCCTATCTAGCATATAGGCCACATCATGTGTACTCATACATATACTTTATTATTTCTGACCTGTCTGTCATAATTTACAGAGGCTTGATCACTGACTATACATGTATTAGTATTACAAAGATTAGCATTCACCTTTTTAATTTATCATCATGTGCAGTAGGCTATTCCAATAGCACCAGAGAGGCGACAGAAATGGCTCCATGCAATTAACAGAATTGAACCTACCACTAAAACATTATGGCAGCCAAAGAATAACTATGCAGTAATATGCTCCGAACATTTTAAACCAGAAGATTTTTCATTATCGAAACATGGTGCATATAGACTTCTTTCTCCAAACAGTGTACCATCAATATTTTCTTGGAAGAAAGAACCAACATCGCAGGTATAAAATCAATCTTAAGTTGTTGTTTTCTATTGTTAAAACATAGTCAGTTTAAGTAGGCCTACCAGTAATACATTTCATGAAAAGCATAGCCTGTATCAAATAAATAGATGACATTCATCGCCCAATATATGTATGTTGAATCAAATCGGCCCCACTTTGAGTCTTTTTTTGTATTAATTTTCATAAAATAAATGACATTTGAGTGAGTGTTCTACCTATAGAAATTTATATCCCAGAAATAGGGAAATTCATTGCCCAATATATGCATTTTAAATCAAATCGGCCCCACTTTGAGTCTTTTTGTTATTAATTTTTATAAAATAAATGATATTTGAGTGAGTGTTTTAAGAATATTAAAGATACATTATTGGAGATTCGATAACGAGTTGGCAGTTCTCCCTATAATAGTTAAAAACTAGATAACGTAAAGGCAATTTGCTGAAAATTTCATTCAAATTGATCCACTATGAACCGAAAACTAAGCGAATGAAATATCTGCCTATAGCCTCGGCCATCATTACTAAAGTCAGTACGATAAACAGCATAATCTCGATTATCCATTTAATCTTTTAATCGAGAAGGAAAGTTATGCAGTAAATCGGTTCACAATGCACTTATTATGGTCTGGATAAGTTAATTAATGTTTAATTAATAATTTAGATAACATTTCAGGCCTAAAGAAAGACCTGCAATAGACAGATTTAGCTCTTGCATAATGTATGTTTAATTTATATATCCCAGAAATAGGAAAATTCATCGCCCTATATCACATATATATGGAATTATTAGAATTCAATCGGCCTCGCTGTGCAGAGAGTCTTTTTCTTGTGTCTGAAAGATTTTGAAGTATTTATTTGAATTAATTTTCATAGCAAAATATGTGTAAAATGGCACAACGTGATGTCATTAAATGGGAAAACTGCCTTAATATGCCAAAAAGCTACGGTACCCAAGTTTCAGTTTAACTTAAGGTTAAAAAAAAATACCCCAAAATCTTTTCAAACATTAGAAAATGACTCACGACTGTACAGCGAAGCCGATTGGATTCTATGTAGGGAAATGGTGGTATGATAAATCTCTTTATAATAAAATCATTCAAATATTATGATACAAAATCTTTAAATCACAAGAGAAAGAATCAGACCTTATGATTTCATGCACTAGCCCCTCCCCCCTTGAATCAAAAGAATCAGGCACACTATACAGTGATGTACAACAAATATTTGGAGGAAGATCCAATTATAGCCAGTTTAATCTAAATATTAAGGCCACCTGAGGATTTTGTTAAGGTCACAAGATGTAAACAGTACTAACCCTCACCCTAACCCTAGCGAGTAGCCCATTATCCTCGACAAAAATCACTACATATACCCTTTTTATGATATTTAATGGTTATTAGTTCCATATTCCTGTATTTTTTTAATCAAGACAAGTACACGAGATTCCCACACCAGTAAAAAAAGCGTTAGAAAATGATGTAATTGTATCAGTCACAAGAACAACTCCTGACAGCAAGGTGAAGCAGAGTATAAAATCCGACCATTCATATACTTTAAGCACAGATGAATTACGAACGAAATACCAAGTTACGAAACATCAATTAGAAGAAACACAACAAGAACTACTCAACACAAAACTTCGCGAAAAAAGGGCAAAGACAGCAATAGGGAGCATACTAAGTCAGCTAACCGATGCAAGAAAATTATCAGAAAACAGTCAAAAAATGATTGATTTTTATAAAGGTATGGTGATCTTTTTGCACAAAAATATTCTATATTTGGAATAACAATCATATTTCAGACCGGATAACAATATGTTATTAAATGTACCGATAATTTTACTACAGTAGCTGATATATAGATGGGGGGGTTGGATGGCTGAATGGCTGAATGGTTAGCGTGCGCGCGCTGTATCATACAGTCTGTCATTGAGTCGACTGGCGTGGTTTCGAGTCCCCGGTTGTACGTGGCAAGGAGTAGGGTCGCCTGTCCAACCTCGTGGGTTTTCTCCGGGTCCTCAGGTTTCCTCCCACTGCTAAAGACCCCTACGCGCAAGCGAATTATGTAAATAAAATTAAACCATATGTTAGTCCCGAAATGACCTAGTTTGTGTCGAGTGGACGTTAAACCCCATTTCTCTCTCTCTCTGATATATAAATAGGTAACATTATAATACAGGCATCAAGTTATAAATTTACTGGTAATAGTTGTTGACTTTCTTTTAGATATTTCGGTTGATTTGTTTAGTAAACCAGCGTCTGAATTTTCGGATGATACAAAGACGTTTTCTACAACACTGTATTTTTATGGTCCAAAAGCATATAATTATTTTAGAGAAAATGTCAACTTACCACACCCATCAACTATTAGAAGGTACTATTAATTAAAATCATGTTTTGTTCATTCTTATATTGGTTAATATTTCTGAGTTTTTTAACTGTCAAGCTGGGAAATCAATTTTAACATTATCACATTGACAATTTAAACTACTTTTATTATTAATATTAATTAATTATTATTGTGCATAACCAAATTTTATTGACTTAGAATAAAAATAAGTATTTACACATCAATTTTTAAACAAATTTTAACATTTAATAAACTTAATCACATGTTTATTTTCATTGACAATAGAAACTTTCAATGCATGTTTAATTATTCTTAAATGGGAAAATAAATATTGCGATAAAACTAAAATGTAATTACTTTAATTGAATTCCTAGCTCTTCGGTTGTGACTTTACATCTTTGACAATTTGGTAAAGGAGTTATTAGGTTTAAAAAAAATTTGACAGTTGTCTATTTGTTATGCATTTTAATTACTTTTTGTTATAGGGTTTTAATAATGAACCGGATGACAAGTTGGGAAATATTTACACCGCTGATGGTATGGATATTGATTGCCTGGTCTAGACTTTGTATTACATACTGAAGTCAAAAGAATTGCTAACACCTGGGGATGTGTTACAACACGTCCTAAATGATTTTATTTTTCATTGTTAATTGTTACTCAATTTTCTGAAAATAAAACTTTGAAATAATTTTATAAAAATTTTCTGACTTATTATTGATTAGGGATATGTTTTGTTTAGTTTAGATACCACACCTTTATATTTTTTATTATTCATATGAGCCCCTTATGTCTGTATTTAGTTGATGTAATTGTAGCTATTAAGAGATAAACCCACATTATCATATGGTCGATCAAGAATCGACTTTAAAGGTAAACTTAAAACAGTAAACATTTTTATTTTTGTTAAAACTTTTTGTTAACAATATTTTTACATTATTACCTTTACAACTCTTTAAAGCATGAAATAAATATGGTACAACATCTTTTGTTACATGGAATCATATCTAAAAGTACTGCTTCATAATAAAATTATATAAAAATATCAAATTTTACAAATTCAAGTTGTGCAGTAAAATGATTTAAAAATATCAAATATTACAAATTTACAAGTAATATGGATGGTAATCAATTTTCTGTGAGAGCTTCTTGTTGCAGATGGCTCAGTAATATTTCAAGCAGACCAGGAATGTCTGGCCAAGTTATTAATATGCTCCAGAATAAGTTAAAGTTAGATCCATGGACCTACAAAAATTGTAGTATAATGGTAGACGATATATGTCAATTAGACGACATATAGCCTGAAATCCGCAAACAAACCAAATGGTAGGATTTGGGTACTGGTCCAGTTGAAAATGATGCTGTAGAAGCCAGGGAAGTTATTGTAATGTTAGCTGTTGGACTGCAGGGTCATTGGAAGGTACCCTTAGGGTATTGTCTTGTTGATGGCCTGTCAGCTGACATACAATCACAATTTATTTTGTCAGCAATTTCCACAAATTGGGATAAGGGCAACTTCTGTTGTTATGGATGGGCACCCAACAAATCAACGGATGGCAGGAATCCTTGTATGTTGTTTAGACCCAGATAATATTTCTGGTACGTTTAGCCATCCTTTAGATCCAAGTTTAAACGTTTATGTCTTTTTTGATGCCTGCCATCTGATGAAGATGCACTGCATGCACTGCGAGAACTCTCAGAACCATCCATTGGAACAGCTAAATGGTTAGACATAAAGCGACTCAAAGAATTGCAAAGATCTGGAGGATTACGAGCAGCAAACAAACTCACAAAAAAACACATTGAATTCACACAACAGAAAATGAATGTTAAGTTGGCTGTACAGGTGTTAAGCAATTCTGTTGCACAGTCTTTAAAATATGCCGCTGAAACAAAATGTTATGGTTTCGAAAATTGTCAAGGTACAATGGCTGGTCGCAAAGTTTGTGTTGGTAAACGTAAGATTTGTATAATTGGCTTTGCCTTGAATATTAATAGTATCTTAAATTTAGCACGTGAAATGTTGTTTGGTGTAAAACCCCACTTGCGTTATCTTTTAACATATAAATTATCCCAAGATCACTTGGAATTATTGTTTTCTGCTATCAGAAGATATGGGGGGTGGAATAATAATCCTTCTGCAATCCAGTTTTCAAGTGCTTTCAGAGCTCTGTTGAGTCATGTTGGAGTTACTAGAACAATACATCGCAACACTTCTTGTAGTCCCCAACATATTACTTCAATATTAGATGTAAATACCACCACAGAAACAGTAGGAACGCCATTTCTTACATTTAGATAAAGAGCTGACGGTTCGTGCTTTAACAGTTAAAGACTAGATAATGAAATGGTTAACCTTGGAAATTTCAGTCAAATTACTTTATTCTGAGCAATGTTGGGCTGTTTGAAGAATCTTGGAGTCTCCTCGATTGTCATTGATATTGTTGTTACGATGGTAAATAAAGTCTTGATTATCCATTTTTTTTAAAATTAAATCATTAACCGCCAATTGTGTTTAAATCAGTTGAAAATCAAGAGCATGCATTGGGACATTGAGAGTTGGTTATGGTCTGGGCAAGTTAATACATGTCTAAATTTATCTAACATTTAACACCTAAAGAAAGACATGCAATAGACAGATTTAGCTCTTGCATAATACATTTTTAAATATGTGTACAGAGTCATAATATTGAGATTTTTTTGTAAATAATTTTAATGGGTCAATTTGGTTTGAAAAGTCCAAATATGAAAAATATGTACATATATATAATATTGATTTAAAATAAAATAATTGAAAGATGTGTAATGAATCAAATTGGTTTAAAAAGCTCATTTTACATGTTGATAAATATGAATAAACATTATATTATTTACCAAACCCACATATGGATTATTACAGTAGTTTTTTCTATAAATAAATTGATAAAGATATATATATAACTTATGGTATATGTGCTGGGCAGAAGGTCTGGCAAGGACAGTATCTACATGTAGTTGTTCGGATGGAACGAAAAACTATGCTCTTAAAAATAATTAACCCTTATTGACAGTTGGATTTCAAAATACAGCCGAAATCTTACTCACATAGCACACTTCATTAGCCTCAAGGGAACAGTAAAGTTAAATCCCATTTCATTTAATTTTTATATCTTAGAGCTCACCTGCCTTTTCTTCAACCTGGATCCTGCCCCTGTCTTGCATGGAAGTCATTGAACTACACATTCACAAGTCACAATCAGGATGAATCGTGATTCAAAGGTTCGTACAATAAACAAAAAAAGCACATACGAGTTTACACCTGCACGTAGGCATATAATATATATTTAAAAAGAATCCCCAACCCTCCAAAATAATCTGTTCCAATCGTAAAGTTTCTTTTCCCCAGAATAGATCTGTGTTTACTTAATTTTAAAAATATAAATAATGAAGTAAAAAATATGGCCTTCATGCTTTTAATAACCATATACTTAGCAAAGTGTTACAGAATTTCCAGTAGGTATCCAATTACAACTATTACAAAAAAAATAATATTCATGGGCCGGCAATAACTTCAATTTTCTTTTTGCCCCAGAACACCTGCGTTCACAATAGTTTTAAAAATATAAATAATGAAGTAAAACATATGATCTTAGTGATTTTATTTATTTCACATATACATGTACTAATCTATAGAAAAGTTGTCGCAGAAATTCCAGTAGCTATCTTAATTAAAACCATATTACAAAATGGATTAAATATCGCTACAACATGAAAAGAATGGGTGTGGAAGTTTCAAAATTCTATTTAAAAAAAACTATTAACTCTAAAATTTCAAACTAAACATTTCTGTAAATGGTAGGACACGGTCTGTTAGAGCCCAAGTTTTAAAGCATTGGAATTCTTGTTTTCAATTTTAAATAATTGATTTAGCTCATTCGGAGGATACCTATACAGAGCTATCATGCAATGTATCGGGCCTATATTTTCCTATGAAAAAAATATTTAACGCTTTACAATCCTAATAAAACTACAGAAAAAATAAAGTCATGGTATCAATCAACTGAAACAATCAGCCAGGCTTGTTGACAAGGTCTAATTTCCTCCTAAAATTGATACACGTTCACCACTAGTTTCCGTTTGTTAACATTGGTTTTCGCGGCTTCTGTCCAGACGGGAAATCACGAGCTGAGTGTCATGGCGGCCCTGACCAATTATAAGGCGTGAGCGGGCTATCTATATATGACGTCAATGGTCGTAACTTTCCCTATACATTCGGCAAACCTCGTCAGATTCTACGCATCTAATCTCGGCTGTATGACGAATTCCGCCATATTGGAACTATTTTAACCCATTTTTGACGATAGCGTATCAGTTCGCACCTATCACTTGACGGTAGCGAATCAACTCGCGGACCCATCATACTTGGCAACGGCATTTGCGAACAAAAGCGCCAGATCAATCAACAGATTTCTATTGTTTTTATTTCATAAATTAACGGTGATTGATTTGAGTAATAAAAATAAAACACCAAATGAAAAGGAATGTTATATTCGCCAATTATCGAATAAAAAACATACGTTTCAACAAAGGATCTTTCAGTATTTACGTAATAGGTCAGAGGTGAAAATTAACAGCGTGTCAATGACTTTGGCATTATTCCAATATGTTCACGTTGTCACTTACGGCTAATAATTTTACGATATGAAGAGTGAAATGGAATCAGATTTTTTTATGATTTACTGCCAGACATATCGTAGAATATGACAATGTCGAAGAAATCAACTATTTGTTTACGTAATAGGTCAGAGGTAAAAAATTAACACCGTGTCAATGACTTTGGCATTATTCCAATATGTTCACGTTGTCACTTACGGCTAATAATTTTACGATATGAAGAGTGAAATGGAATCAGATTTTTTTATGATTTACTGCCAGACATATCGTAGAATATGATAATGTCGAAGAAATCAGCTATTTGTTATTTTTTTTTTTGACGTTATGATGCGAAAAATACGGATATTCGAGCTGAGATCAAGCGTGTCGCCGCCATCTTGGATACGGTGTGCTTTCAAACTGACATAACACAAAACTTACGGCTAATAATTCTAGACTTTGGAAAACTAAATTGAATCAAAACATTTGGGATTTAATACAAGCTACATAGAGGAATATTACATTGTCGAATATTTCAACTATATATTTTTATTTTCGACGCAATATAGCAAAGAAGACGACCATTCCCGTCATATATCCAAAGAAAGGCAGAAATGTTAAAATACCGATAGCAATGAAGTGACCGTCATTTGGGGTGATATTTCTTTTTAAAAGTTATATTTATATTTACTTTCAACACTGCTGCCAACGTGTGGGACTATATTTGATTTCTATTTAAAAAAATTATTAGGGGATACTTGTTCACGTTATTTTACTATTATGACAGAGAAAAGTCATAATTTTAGTGGAACTGACTTTTCAATGTTATTTATAGTAATATAATTTCTACTTTGTACAATTGAATACAGAGTATTTCTATGTATAGAAAATATTTTTTTAGTTATTTGCAATTTTGTAGAGGGTATTAGGATTAACAATAATCCACTAATTGGCTTAGGAAGATGGGCCCTGCTGATTTAATTGGGGTACTCCCACTGT